CTCTCTCATATCGGTCATGAACCAACGAATACCGTTTTTTATCAATATAATTATTTGGTACAAAATCTTCCTCCTTTTCTTCCTTGGGTAGTGGCCACCTTAACAGTTTTTCTTTTTCTTTTTCTATTTTTGGTTGCGATGATATTTCTCCTCTTAATTGTTCTTTTGATTGCATGGTATTCTCTGGTATCCCACGCTTTTCCAAGTTTGAACTAGATACTTTTGGACTTTCGACGCTCGCACTACCACCCATGATTGAATATTCAAAACTATAGAATCTATACAGAAAACAAAAAATATTGTTTAATTAAAAAAAAAATGAGAGCATGGTTTATTAGCTCAGTTTTAAAGTGTTTCAGTCAAGGACTTCAGAAATGATGATTCATAATCTAAGAATTTAATATCTCGTCATTGTGTAGAAAATGCCAATAAGCCTTATTATGTTTTGTTACTTGTTTCGCTTTACAAAATTCGCTCGTTTCTTAGACGAATTTAATATCGACTGCTCTGTACAGTCGTCTAGCACGTTCTTTAGTAATCAAACCCATCAGTAGATTCAATATCGAAAGCTCTAAATAATACCATCTGCCGTATGAGCAGATTGAATTCGAACTGACTTTTGTCGAATTCTTTACAATTCGATTTCTAATCAGTAAATATGAGACAAAATTCGATCGAACTCTATTATTCTATTTAACTAAATCTTTCTTTTCAAAAAAGAAAACATCAGACGATAGAGGATTCTATAATTGATCTAACCGAATAACATTGAATGCTGACATCGAGTTACTGAATCGAATTATGCTGGAAACTTCAATTCCAACAATATTAAGTAATTTCAAGTTAGAAAGACTGAGTCTATCTTACGTCTATTTTTCTATTACATGTCAAGAAAAGATATCTAATTAGTTACTAGAATAATATTATGATACGTTACATAGCTGTGAAGAAGCTTATCTTTTAGGATCTATTCAGGTAGCGAGATAGTCACTTAGAATACTATATGAAAAATCTATGAAGAAACTTATCTTTCTAGATTTACAACTGTAATTCAGTGACAGAGATTGAAACGAATAAGAAAACCTTCATTCCGATTCGATTCAGTTTTGGTCTCGAGTTTCAACCGAACTATCTACTCTTTACTAATCATTTCTAGAATATTGTCGAGGTCCGCCTTAGGAATTTGAAAACAAAATCAAATTTCAAATTTCATCTTGAAATCTTGCACATACAAAGCTCACAATGAGAACAGTTTGTGATGGAAATTTCAGTACATTTTATTGGTCTATCATTGAAATATTGACAAGTGAAAAATTTACGGAAAACGAATATCCTTCAATGAGATTTGAAAAAGTATAATCTTCTATCATTTTTTACATGTCAGTTCCAAAGTGTTGAAATTCTCGTTTTAAAAACCCCTTGTCGTGTGCTTTCATTGATTTTTACCCTTAGAGTCGTACTGCAAAGTTGGTCATTTCGATCTTGTTGGAAAGATTTTGTGTTCTAAAATTCAATCCCATAAACATCTGAAAACGGTATCCGATGCATTGTGATGTGTTCTTTCAAATGAAACTATTCTTAAGCTAATACATCACAATGATACGACTAACTTGCTTTATACACAGTGAAGATGCACCCATAGTTAATAGTATCTATGGTAAAAAAAATCTCTGTTATAATTCTCATTGTTCTTTAAAAAAATGAAAATTTCCTAAAAAGGATTACTCTGTAATGTACTTTAAATGTAACTGAGTATCAAGAATTTGAACGTCTACATCTCTATAATAATTAATCCATTTGAGCCAAATTTTTTAGTTTCTTCTTAACTTTGCTAGGTCTATGAACTGTGAAAATATCAGTCAAATTGGTAAGATCATTTGAGGACGGTTGATCGTGGTTTGCGTGCAATGTCTTCTAACGTTATTTTAGATAGTCTTGCGTCGAATAGCATACTTGTATATTTGTTGAATTTATGATTTCTTATGTGCCGTTCAAGTTCTGTGAAGCGTGCACAATTATGGATGAGAGAATAATTATATGACTATGAAATTTTTAACATGACGAAGTGTCATCTCATCTATTGATGAAACGTAGAAATTCTTGATTGGACATATATTGTGATTCGTGGAGATTTTTCTAAAAGAAAATCATTGTAAATAACTGCTACACTCTAACTCTATTGTTGCTCAAACTTTTTTGTGGTATTTTACTATTGATTTCAGAACTTGAAATTAATATAAATTTGAATTCTGTTTTAGTCTGACGAAAAACCATAGATGAAATCGATTTCTCTACCTGAACTTTAATATTCAGAATAGCAATATAATATATTGCGTTGATTTTGAATGAATAAAATAAATCTAACAATGATTTTCTATATGATAGTGTTCTGTAAAAAAAATCTATTTCTAATGAGGGGAAGAGAATTCAAAATGTAATCGTTTCTCTTACTTCAATCACTATTGTACAAAAACGCGTCGTTATTTTGCCGTACAACGAATGAATGAGTGACTACTTTGAGAGAGAGAGAGCGCAAAAACGAATTTATTTTTATTTTGTTGTGTATTCAATGACATTTGTTTTGTAGAAAAAATTAATAGAAGCAATGCAATCAACATCATGATGGAATTATTTTATCGATTCGTTAGAAATATAGCAATATGTAAATTATGTTGCAGTGATGCCATTTTAAACAAACGAAAATAGATGAAACGTGATTACAAACATAGGTGTTGAAAGAAAAGTTTTTCTGTCACACATTGAAACATGATTTTTTTTCACTATATGGTGATACTTTTTCAAAACTAAATTCAACTTCTGCTCGTGAGAATAAATTTCTTCAAGTCAAGAGTTATAACAGTCGTAAATGGTCGCGCACAAAACCATGTATGACCATATAACCAGTGTATGCGCAATAATTTTTGCATTTCATTCTATTGTTATTTATGTCTTGTTTGTTCATAAATTACTATACAACGAATCTCTCAGCCTATAAATAAAACAGGAAAAAAAAGAATTCTTATATATTTTATTTCATTTACTGAATAATTAAGATTAATAAAAAAAAAAAAATAAAAGTAAAGAAGAACATGGCTTCACCGTGGCCGAAATCAGAATGCAATAATAAAGACTATTTTTAATGTTCGATAATCTAAATTCGAAAAACAATAATTTTTCTTCGCCTTTCTATTAATATAGAACAGATGAACTTCTGATGTCGGAAAACAAACCAGCAATCCAAGGTTTCTTCCTGATATTCAATATGACAATAAAAAATCTTTTTGACAAAAGCATAATTTAGAAAAGAATGACGATCATGAAGTTAAATTCTTTTGAACATTTGATTTTATTCTAAATAGCAATAAATTTCTGACGGCTTCATTCCAGCATACTTATGTATGTTTACTACATGGCCTTATTTGGAGTAGTCACAGATGAAACGCATAAGAAAAATAAGATGTTCAATACATTAATTTCCGTTCTTCTCAGAAAAGAACTTGATGATTGAAACATAGTTCAGTTATTCGATCAGGAATTAACACACATCCAATGACAATATAAATGTAGCATCTAGACATCAATTTGATTTGAAACGGAAAACTGCACTTTTATCATCTGTTACAAACATTTGTATTAGATTGTTCTTGACAAATTAATTAAGAGAGAACTTTTTTGATAGTTTCTTTTTTATAATAGTTGATTAAAAAGTATTTAACGTATATACTAAATAATGTCAGTTTGAATTAAAAATTTTTTAGCGTTGTTCTATGATAAAATTTGAAGATTTTTATTTGAAATTTTTTGATATTGAAGAAAAACTAGAACATAGAAAAAAAAGATAAACAACACAACATAAAATAATCAGTCTATTTTTAGTTGATCCTTGAATCTAAATATTTGATAGGGTGTGGCTGTAGTTGTGGTTGTGTGTGGGTGTGGGTTGAGAGAAAATCAACTCACACCCACATCCACACCTACCCTACATGCACACCCTAGAGTGACAATCATTTTTCGTATTTTTTAAGTTATTTTTCTATTATGGTTCATCATTATTCTATAATGACCACCAATATTTTCTCTTGCCTTGACCATTTTTTCACTGACATCAAACATAAATTTCTACTGCATTGATTGTTACCTATCTTAGTTTTAGAAATACCTAAAAGTAGGCATTTTTGGATCTAAATGGTACATTTTCGCTTGAATTTACCATTTCTTCTACCGATCAGATATGTATCGACTACTGCTCGTAGATCGCACTACTGCCTTACCATTACATCTACATTCGCACTATTCATACAATTTCGTGCACTCACAATTATATTCACTGTCATATATAGACGCTCAGCTTTTTCAGCTGAAGATTTTCTTGAGATATGCCATGAAGTGGTTTACTTTTATTAATATCTTCTTGTTGAAATTTTCAAGTAAATTGTACATGTCAAAGTTTCGATAAAAAAAATGAGTTACTGTACGAATGAGTTCGTAAAATTATAATTACTGAGAATGTCAATAAAGAAATCATCAAGAAATTTGTGAACTTTATCAATATAACTTTATGCAAGAAAATTCCATGCTAAAATAGTCTTTCTTGGTCACTTAATGCAAGAAAAATATGTGACTGCTGCGCAATATCTCGTTAAAGTTATACAATATCATCAATGAATATAGAAAATAAAATCGATCATTTGTAGAATATTATCAATGAGCTTAGTTGATTCTTAAAGTCATCTTATTGTACATGTTTCGCTAAGAATAACACTAGAGTTTGCTCAACTAAGATTTTTCCTTGAATAGGTTTTATTGAAGGTTGTTCAAATGCATATGAAAAAAAAATGATTAAAAGAGATAATATGAATGTGGCATTAAAAATTGCGGAGAATACGCGAAGAGCGATCGTCGAAATGAATCACGAGATTAACGTTGATTTCATTTGTCATGTAAGGAAAAAAAAATAGTTTCTTGTCAATAAATAATACGTATTAAAATGATAAAATATATTAATCTTCAAGATAGTCTTCAGGATTGAGTTCAACTAAACGACGTTGTGGATTTCGTTTTGAACATTGAAGTCCAGTAAGATAACCCACTTCATCGAAAACACTCAAAACCTGTGAAAAAAGAAAAATAAAATCGTTCAACTATGTCTTTCAGATATCTTCTCTATTACATAATCGAGCATTTCTTTAGTATGACTGGCCGATAGACAAAATCGTATACGTGATTCGTTAGCCTTAGTAGCCGGAAAACCTACAGTCACTACAGCGCATCCACGTTTCAACATTTCTCGATTGACAGCTCTATATAATAAAACAATGAACATACGAAACAAAAAGAAAAGAAAGAGTATAATTTCATACCCAACCTTAGCCGGTATGAAGAGCATCACTGGAACAACCGGCGAATCTCTATGTCCATATACGATAAAGCCCATATCGACAAGTTGACGACGAAAATAATGAACATTACGAGCTAATTGTCGAATACGTTTTTGACCTAAAAATAGTATCAAATACATTTAATCTTTTCATTTTCATGGCTAAATTTTAAGGTCTAGAACTGAAATTCGTTTAGCATTGTGATCATAATGGTCTATAATATACACATGAAAAGTTTGAATCACATCAGTTAAGTGTTAATATAGTTAATGTGTTAAATGTTCAATAAATTTTATTGTATAGAAATACTTGTGAAAGTTACAACAAAATGGACACAAGCTGTATGTGTGAGTGTCAGTGTGAGTATGGAATATTGATGTCACTGTGTTTGGAGTGTTCAGTGTCGTTTTTCACTCCATCTACACCCACACCTACACCCACAAGTACGACACGCATATATGTATCCTCTCCTTTACCTTTACTTAGTTTCGAAACATTCTCTTCTTTGGATATTGTTCAGATATTTTCATCTCGCGTTCGTGTTTCTTTTCAAGTATTTTTGTTTTTTTTCTAACTAGTTCATAAATATATCATATTGATAATCATTTGGAAAATAAAGAAGAAGTTCAATACCAATTTGTTAGATCAATTATGCGTTAATACTCTCTTATGGCACGGCTCTAGCACATGCCATACCATAGTATGTTTGTCTGAATAGCAAATAAAATGTATTATGAAGAATGTTATGTTCGGATTGTTGATATAAAATAAGTTTCTATATGTCTTATAGCTCAAAAGAACAAAACTTCAAAAAAAGTGGTACCTATAGGTAACCATTAAGAAAGAAAAGGTTAAGATAATTCTTATTGTATAAGAGCTCATCATTAATATCTCAAATAGTTCATTTTGTAGTTTTCTTTCTTTAAAATACTTGAAATATAATGTCTTACCACCATCAGTTCCATCTCGACTCGTGATAATATTAAGTGCGCTAATGATTTGATAGGCGATAGGTGCCGACATGCTCGATGAGTAGCATGTAGAATGAGAATGAATTCGAATATGATCGACCAAAGACTATGACAAAAATCAAACTCGATCAATTTAATATAAAGAAATATCTCATACCTTTTTACCAGCAATATAACCTCCGACAGAGCCAAAACTTTTCGTAAATGTACCCATATGTATGTCAATATCCTTTGGATCAACATTCCAATAATCGACAGCACCACGACCACGTGAACCAACAGCACCAATTGAATGAGCTTCATCAACATACAAATAGGCTTTGTATTTTTTCTTTAGGGCAACTATTTCAGGCAGTTTACATAATGAACCTTCCATACTAAAATTCCATATAATCAATAATAACAAAAGTAAATAGAAAAAAATTATTTGTTCTACCTGTAGACACCTTCGACAATAATCAAAATTTTTTTCCATGGCCGAAATTTTCTTGGTTGACCATGAACAATGGCTTCACGTAATTGATATTCCAAATCTTGCATATCTAAAAACCGAATCAATAAATTTCATTAGGAAAAACGATATAAAATTCAAAAACAGAAGACTTTCACAATACTGTCGTTTTCTTTGTAAAAAATAATATTGTTGGATCACGATATTTTCACGAAAAACAATTATATGACTCTTCTATTTGTCTTCAGGATTTTGAAAAAATTTTTTTTTTCAAAATTCACTTTTCACAAAACGGCTAGAAGTATGAAACTGGCTACGTTGATCAGAAATTTGACAATAACAAATTCCAGAAATTTAATGCTAAACCAGGAGGCAAATTTTATCTATAGTTAGTTTTTCGACCGTCATCAAGTTTTCGATTCACTTCTCACATAGACTACTCCATAAAAAGTTCGGAAAAGCATTCTTTAGGTCTTACTTTAATAGTTCTATCTGAATTCGGATGAATAGGAACTATTAGGAAGATTGAGTGATTTATAAAAATAAAATATGACCAAGATGAAGGCAGGATAAGTGTGTGTGATATCTCTTTCCTATATTCTTATTGCACTGAAAACTCTTGAATTTAAATGAAACGATATTGATTAAATGCAATTTTTCATGCTCTACTCAAATATACTATTGGATAAATAAATAAAAGGCTGGTAATAGACTCAGTACTAATGAATGTACCCGACAATGCCCAATTTTTGCAGATTTTTCGACTGCATGACTAGGGTCTGGAATTCGAAATTAACTTCATTGTGTCTGTCTCGGACATGTTTTTAAAGCCACTGTCTATTCCGTATTACGATGGTTTTTTTTTATTTTCATTGATTTCACAATGTCGAATCTTTTGAGAAACACGATTGGTAACGAGTGTTGAATTACATAGCAAGAAACATGAATCTCTCCTTCACTCAGAATATAATAGTAAAGTCATAATGCTACAATGGATCTCGACACTATAGAATTATGTATGATAAGAGAACACATGATTTTATTTTTTTAAGAAACCTAATATGAATAATATGCAACGAAAAAATAGAATTAATAAATTTATTTTAATAGTAACCTGAAAAACTGATATATCGATCCATCCGTACGATTGTTATCAAAGTATATGTATTAATGATATGGTTGTGATGTTAATATATATTCATCTGGTCGTGATTATAGTATTAGTATTAGAGATGTGTGAAATCAAATTTTAGTATCGATTTCAATCAATGAGACTAGATCATGATCGAAGTCACAAAAACAAAATTTCTCAATCGCAACTCAAAATAATAGTTTAATATTCTATGATTTTAAGTGAATTATCTTCTAAATTATATCAGTTAGAACATAATTCCGGTGGAAAAAAGTGTTATTGAGATCAGTACCAAAAGCACTTAGTTTAGTACCATCTCGAGTTACTATATATAGTTATCTATCAAGCTAGATTTATATTGTGATACATCAAATGAAAATAATGATATTAAAAACAATAGCTTAATACATATACTTAAATACTACTCGCATAAGTAGACTGAAATATTAGTTTCACAGTTTATCATTGAAAAAAAAACTTTTTGATTTTCTTATCTTACTGCATATTATTTATATTTACTATAGAATTATGTTTGGTTGGACTACAGAGTTTCCAGTTTTTTATCTATAGGTTTTGAAGATTTCGGATTGCGTTATCGTGGAATATGCAACCAATAAATCATTCGATTCTTGAAACATGCCTACAGAGGATTTTCTTATTCATAATGTAATACATTCGAAAACAATGGCAGCATAATTTTTTGATTACACTATTATGAATTTTTCTCGACTTTAGAATTCTGAATTTTTGCATAATCTAACTACTAATCATTCTTGAAATGTATAGCGACTTTTTTTTTGTATTTATTTTTATCGCAAAGATATGTATATATTTTTAACTAATATACACGAAAATTTTTCGTCGAAACGAATGTTTCGTTTTCAAGATATTAAATACTCAACAGACACATATATTTTAGAAAGAATTCAGAAACCCTAGTTTTTTGAAATCTTTATAAACTTGAAAGAACACTTTCGTTGAACAAATTTTGAGTTCAACATTTACACATTCGATTTTTCTTGATATAAACTGATAGAAATCAGAAATGCAGCGACATAGGCATAACTTGAAACCATGTTGGGTACGAGTGTGAGTCTTGTCTTCACCCAAACCAATACCTAACACCTCCAACTTTCACCTACACTCATATTCATACTCAAACTACAAAACTTAAATACTAACAATAGAATTTTATTCATAAGACGAGTAAAAATCACACTTTATTTTCAAGGTAAAAATATTTTTTTTTATTTGCCTAAGTTTAATATGCGTATTTAGATTTCAAATTGAGAATTTTTCATGTCTAAAAGTCATTGATATAATGAAGAAAAATGAGAAATATTTTTTTCTTTAAAGATCAATTTGAATCAAAATTGGTCAATTTAAATATAGATACATACTATTATGATTGAATGTGCGAATATGTGCGCCAGATAATCGAGCACCAAGAATAATTGAAACATGATTAAGTTTGTCACTTAGTATAAGATCACCCTATGACAAAACATTTTTTTGATGAAAAAAACAAAAACAAGATGATAGTTTTATACTTCGCCCATTATTGCTGGAATATTCAATGCATTTGTAGCAAAGCCCATACCAAAAGCAATACAATCTTCAACACCTAGAAAATTGGCCATCATTTCTTCAAGAGTTTTCATATACTGTTGAGTTCCTATGAATATAAAAATGAATACATAAATTGATATTGATTCAATTTATAAAAAGAATAACATACCTAATTCCTGACGAGTACTACCTGTTGTAGTTCCATACTGTTCAATTGATCTTATAGCTTGTTCTGCACATGGACCTCTATTTTCAGCAAAACCTAAATAATTGTATGAACCCATATTAATGGCTGGTATTTTTCTGCCAGTAAATCTATATCAATGAAAATTAACATATGAGTTTGTTTATTTCTTTTTCGTTGTTGACTTTCTCATTTAAACTCACCTGAATGTCCAATTGTAATCATCTGAAACACGTTCCATAACATCGATTATAGGCCCAGCTATGCTTGCAATCGGTTGATTGAATGCATCACGAACACGTGTATAGAAATTACGCGTATAGAAGCACTCGAAACTTTGATAAAGTGGTACAAAATCCTATAAAATAAAACATTAATAATTAACTTTCTATAAGGTATTTTGGAACCTTTGGACTTGGATCTATAACAGTTTTTTTCTCTTCCAAGCCAATATAACGAAGAAAATCACGAAACCACCCGATTGGAGTATGTAAAGCAAAGCTGAGTATAGTAATGACGGCAGCCCAAGTTGGTGCTTCTTCGAAATTATCATCGTCAACAGTTGTCATCTTTGTTTTTGAGTCATTCTCAAGAAAGTTACAGAAAATGAAAGAATAGAATATATAAATCTAGCTAAGACTTGTATTACTTTGGGCTTTGCTTCCGATGGACGTGGTGTCTTCTTCAAATTGTTCGTCATAACTACTCAGTTGCTTCTCAACAATAATATTGTATATGCTTGTAAATTTCCAAAATGATAAATTTTATCTAGGTTACAATTTTATTATAGGTATCAGTCCGCTGATGGTTGTAGACTTGAAGGAATTTTCCATATATTTTAGATTCTCGATCAAAATAAATCGATCTTGCGGAGTTATAACATCTTCTTTTTTCCAGATTTTTCACAATAAAAATAGCTCCCTTTTTATTATTGTTGAAAAATCTTTCAGTATAGTCTCTGGAAGATTAGAATGTTAAACATGATGAAACTGTTCTACTCGTAAACGAAACTCATCCCATGTTAATCATATTTTCCTTAAAGACCAAATAGATAAACATATCTTGTATGTGTGAGGGTGTTGATGAAAAGCCTATCTTCATTCACACCCATCCACTCACATTATCCAACACCAACTTTCACTCAGCCTGAATATGCTATGTGATAGCTGCATGACTCATACGTTATTTCTACATGCTTCTAGTAATATAACGTATCGTCATATTTTTTGGACGTTCAGAACCGGATCTCAAGGAATATGATAGCAGCCACACGTGATCACATAGCATGACTGTTTTTCATTTCGAAAAAAAAACAAAAAAACGTGAGTATTTTTTCAATAACTTGTTATAGGAACACGATAGAATGATGCGAATTTTCCCTATTGAAAAGTGAAGATGATGATGCATTGAATCGGATATTACAGACTTTTCTCTAGTTTTTTTTTTCAGTTCTCTTGAGTTTCTTCAAAAACGATTGAGAATTTGGATGAATTGGCAAAGCAAATTTTCATGAAAATACAGAAAAAAAGTCAAAATTCCATCTAATTTTCTCGAAAGAACGGTTCGAAGCTTAAAGTAAATGTCGATAACTCTTGAACGATTAAAGTAATATACCTAGAATTTGCACAGTTTTTCAGATCTTCGATCAGCGGTTCTAATGCGCTCTTCAAAATCAAAAATTCGTTATGATGACTGGGGGCAGTTAGAGATGTCACTTTTACTTTTTTATTTTTCGTGTTATGAAAGAGTGAATCGCATTTCCCATGCTGTTCGATAAAGAGAAAAGTAAAAGGAAAGTAAAAAAAAGGAAAGCGAAAGAAAGAAATGAGGAAAGATTAAAAAACGAAATAAGCAAAAAGCAAGTAAAATAAAGGTCAAAGGGGACAAAAAAGAAAATGAAAGTCAGAGCTGTACAGCTCACGCTCATAAGTGCTTATGTAAGCGTGAACGTTTATTCTGTCTTAAATAGGAGAGGGAAGTTATAGTTACTCGTCAGTCATGTTACCAATTAATTAGTAATGGAAGCATTGTGAGTTCATAAAAGAAAAGGCAGTTTCCTAAAAACAACGGTTTTTTTTTAAAGTTTGACCAAAAACAATAGAGACCGAGAAATCTGAATCTGTAATTGATTTCTAGAAATTTTGAGTTTGATTTTTTCACTAGATAAAAAAAAGAAGTTTTTTAGCAACAAAAATTTATTTTTATACTAGAAAAATTTTTATTGTGAAGAAAATGATTTTTTTCTAATTAAAAAAAGCTTTTGTTAGTAAAAAAAGAATCAAACTCAAAATTTTGAGAAATCGACTAGAGATTTGGATTCCTCGGCCTCATTGTTTTTGGTCAAACATTATAAAAAAAATTGTTACTTTTAGAAAACTACCTTTCTTTTGACAAACTTGCAAAGTTTTCGTTGCTAATGAGTTGATAATGTAACTGATGAGTAATTGTAACTTCACTCACGTATTCGAAACAGGATAAATATTCACGCTCATATAAGCGCTTATGAGCGTGCACCGTGCAGGCCTGACTCTCACTTTTTTTTTTGTTTTCTTTGACCTTTATTTTACTCTCTTTTTGGCTTATTTCGTTTTTTTTAATCCATTCTCTTTATTTTCTCTCATTTTCTTCTTACTTTCTTTCGCTTTCCTGTTTTTACTTTCCTTTTACTTTTCTCTTTATATAACAGCAAAGGAAATGCGGCTCACTCTTGCATAACACGAAAAACAAAAAAGAAAATCTTTCAACTCACTCTTTACTTCTTTTTCCTTTTAGAGAGAAGATGAAAGTGCCATCTCTAGGGGTAATATATTGGTTTCCAAAAAAAACAAAAAAACTATATTGGAAACCCTAAGAAAACTTACCAGAAAAATTATGTAATATACGATTCGACGCATTGTTATCTTTTCATCCAATAGTAAAAATTGCAGTTCACTATATCATTTCTATTAAAAATTCTTCAAAAAACTGCTCACGATTCTTCTATTTTGAAATAGATAATAGTTCAGATCATTTGACTTATACACAAGGGCACTAATACATTTTGTCCGTTACCTTAGATATAGGCATATGAGACGTTTCTCTTTTCATCAACTTACACTCGTTTTTTGAACTTTGTCTAGAAATTCAGTCCTGACGCATTTCATTCGATGCCAACCGAAATTGGTGGGCTTCAGTTCTGATCCCAAATCAAGTTTAGTTTCAAGAACACTTAAGTACGACCAATCCAGCTCTAAAACTGGAATCAAACTTGGTCAGAATCGGTATTACTGCATTTCTACTGGAGACGTGTGAAGTCAACTTTTTTTTTTGACTCCGAAAAATTTCTTTCTCATGATCCCGATTCCGACTCTGAGATATTATTTTTTAAGATTTCAATTTCAACTCCGAGAAATTACAAAATGTTTTAACAATGCTATTAAAAGATTACACATTGTCAATCGAGGAAACCTTATTTAATACCTAAAACTGCGCGCTATTTACACTAAAAATTTCAGTTTTTTTCGCTAAAAAAACGAGTTTATGAATGTTATCCTTTTCAAACTCGCTTTTTTTTCAAAACGAATATCTTTTTGCATGTACGACAAGCAAAAAGTGCAAAAATTTTTATGTATAACTATTTTTTTCTTTTGTTTGTATTTTTCTTCTTTTATTTAACTTTGTAATACAATGAAAAGAAACGTGTGCTTGTGCATTGCAATATTAACCCTTTCAATACTGACATTCTCTTACATTCTGCATGCACACAAAGGAAAATGCGTGAATCTTTCTCTTGCGTTCTGTCGTCACAATCTGATGCATTTGCAATCCAGCGTTATTATTGATAGTCACAGAGAACGATTTTTCTCGAAGCACATCGTAAAATATTCGTCGTTTAAGACGACGACAGAATGCTAAATATTTCTTTTACGTTCTGTATATCATTTCGTAAATGGTATGAGGTATTGAATGAGTTAAAGAAAAGTATAGTTATACATAAAAATTTTTATATTTTTTATTTGTCATTTTGTGTTGATAATGGACTCAAGATCAGTTCAAAATATTCATAAGTTTTTAAATAAACTTAAATAAAATGATCAATAAACTCATATTATTTGTTATTAGTGTAAAAAAATCGATAATTTTTTACTACTAAAAATCCATTTTTGTTACAGATTTTACCTGCTTTGGATGTTCTTTGTCTAAATACCGAAGAATTGTTGATGAATACAGTTGTAGTATTTTGAATGACATTAACATCATTTTTTTTTATTAATATTATTACGTTTTCATCTCACTGAATCATTTGAGTTTTATAACTGAAAGGTGATTCACTCATGTTTCTGTTCAACACTTCATTATTAATCTATACGACATGTATTGATTTTTTTTTATTTATTAATATGAAGAATGAAGCTGTGACAAATCGAAAAAAAAAATTATCGGCAGCGATTTCAGAGTCGAAATCAGATCTCCAATCTCCACCCATGTCGTACAGAACGATCCGTAAATGACTTGAAAAAGACTCTCATTATGATGATCGTTTACAATCTGCCGTAAAAATGGAGAAATATGGCGATAAGTGATATCCTTTATGGTGATCATTTACGTGCCAGCAGAAACAATTATCGTTATAATTGCCATTTATTGTTATTTTCCCACAGTTTTTCATCGTTTCAAAAAATGTCTTAAAATCATCAGTAAACACTTTCCAACGATATGCAATCGATAAAGCTTGATGATATTATCTACCATTACTAACTAGACCACATTCTAGTAAAAACAGTCTCTTTGTCATGATACACGATGAACAACAATCATCGAGAAAAAGTGCACATTTTTGACCACTCATTATCCGTCATTTTTCTTATTAGCCAAGTACCATATATGATGGAATTAATTCTTTTGTATGCTGGATACCCAGTGAGAAGTTCATTCAAGTACCAGCTTTTGATCTGCCCCCTCACATCGAAAAATACAGCTCGTAAAAGATTGAGAACCGTGAAAAATAACAATGATACTTCTCTTATTCTAAAATATGTCATTCTTGAAATCAGTGTATCTTATAATAGGAAACTCATTTATTTCGAAATCATTATTTGTTCTACTCTCACCTATATAATTCTTTTTTTCTGTGTGTGTATTTATTTTTACGCGCATACTTTGGGTACACTTCGTCATATTCATGTATATGTGTGCATCCTATCTATGTGATAAAACGTTTCATAATATTAGAAAACATGTGCAAAGTGAAAAGCAAAACTACATCGGAGTAGATAAATTGAGTCATAAACGACAAAAAAAAACTGGCTCGTAATACGAACTGGCTGAAAACGATGAAAAATGGCGATCGTTTTACATCGTTTAGGGCATCAATCATGCCGTTTCTTCATCATTTTAGACAGTATACGACGTTGTTTTAGATAATCAGAATGTTCGATCTGAACACTTTCTAAATACCTATTCTTTCAAACTGAGAAGGCTTCAGTAAGAAGGATAAGTAGATGATGACTGAATCCGACAGCCTTGTTTTATTGCAAATATTTTAGTACCAGATTGATTGAAACTCAAGGCACATAAAAAAGACAGGGAATTGCAAAAATTTGTCTTTGACAAACAATGCCAAGTGAATTGACTATTGGTCCTACAGCCATCCTTGCAGTCTTCGAATTATATTCTCTTGAGCATAACTCAAGAGCTTGAAGATAAACTTTATTTACGGTCTTGATCTACTCTTTTAAGAATTTAAAAGATCAATATGTTTCAAACGGTTTTCTTTTCAGAATAGCATGATTATACGATGCATTCACCGTAAAAAAATTCTTTTTCACGATATGTAATTTATGTAGTGTATAGAAGTTGTAATAATAACAAAAAAATGGTTTCAATTCTTCTATGAGGATTTCTAGAAGAAATTTAATCACTGTACAAGTCAAATTCATTTCAATCAGCTTAGATAAATGTTTATTAGAAGCTTTGCTCTTACAGGACGTGAAAAATTCTTTCAAATATACAACCATATATTGAACAGAATAGATTAAAGCTTACATTCAATGGCAGCTACACTCTCCGATGAAAAGCACTTGAAGTGAAGGAATAAAAAAAGTAAAAGAAAGAGTTTGGTAACATGCACAAAACTGTGTTTTCTCTCTCTCGCTTACGTGCGCGTTCTATATGTTGTTGCACTATGATCAACAGCGATAACATCAACAACAGTAACACAAATCTTTCTTGATCTAATTGCTTCTGCATTGCATGACTATTATTTATCGATAGATGAGAACAGAACACAGAGGAAAATTGCTCAATATGCATTAATAATGTAGGTAAATGCGTTGGAAGCCATAGTGTTGGCGACATAGATTTTAGAAACAATTCATTGTCGCCTTTGGTTAGAATTTTTAATATTGTCATAATATTTCCTGACAGCTTCTAAAAACAGAGCCCATCTGAGTCCTACTCTGTTCTTGGTACATTTCTATCGCTGATAACGCAGAATACGACGAGTATTCTAAGTATTCTGGTGAAATTTTTGAGAAAATGAAAACTTTCTAATAATAAATAAAAGATTTTTGCTCGAGTTCCTAGAAAGGACAGACCAAGATACTCTCCAAACTTTGAAAAGATAATATTAAGAACTGAAAAGTAGAATGTTAAAGATATAAAATCATATATACGTATCTTTAGACTTACTTGTCCTGAACCAATAACCTTATATTTGAAGCTACATATTTATAAATATTCGTTGACATATTTGTCAGTTGTAATACTTGTTCAATGATTTTATTTCAATCTGATAACGGTATAGGATGTGGATGATGTTGTGGGGTATGGGTAGGGTGGATGCCTGTGGGGGTGGATGTGAATTTCATCTCTTCACTCACACCCACACCCCAAAATGAACTTTGTAATGAATTAAATAACTATTCGACTCATTATTGAATACTTTCATCCACAAAGATGTTTACTTCTCACTGTCACTGGAAATACTTCGAGTATTGACGGTAATTACGAATGATTTGTTTCCATCGATGACAATCAAACAAGCTATTCATCAAACGAGTACACAAATGGTGTGAATTAGGTGTCTGTAGACAAAATGAAATCACTTTCAAAGTACTAGGCATATGAAAATTTATTTTTTTAAAATGTTATTAGTGTTCGTAGAGGTAATGATACGTATATGATTGTAACTGTTGGTCACTATCATAATTACCGAAAGATGTTTAAGATGAGGAGTGTATTCAAACAACTGCTTTACCTAATTTAATAGCACCTATTTAAGAGCTAAGTAGAAATATATAAATGCTAAGTTGACTTTTGCTAAGTAAAATTTATAGATGTTCAGTAAATAAATTAGATGCTTAATGAATTTATTAGGTGCTTAGTGAAATTAATATTTCTCTATGATTAAAATTTTTGTTAAGTTAAATAATTAATATACAAGTAAAATATTTAATTATTAAGTTGATAAATTAGAATTGTAAGTTAGAAAATAAATTGTATGAATGAAAAAAAAATATTGTTAAGGTAAACGTGATTATGATAAAATAACGATAGCCAACCGGTGATGTGATTCGTACATTTTCTCTCTCTCTTTGATTCTATCAGTGCTGGCTTGACAACATAACATATGTTAATTTCATCTGAATTTTCTATCGTTATGATGTCATGAATGGTTAACTATTCTTGATTTGTAGTATGAAGAATATAATGTGTTCACATCAAGTACTAATAACCAGTTAGAAGCCACGAACAAAGTCATCAAAGACGAACATACTTTTAGAGAACGACATATATTATCAAGATTTCTTATGGTTCCAAGTGACATTGTAAATAAATGGTGTATGTCTCGCAATCAAAATCAAACAAGTCCAGTTGTATCTCCCGCAGAACCAACAATGACACTTCAAAAATGGGCCAGTGCATATCATTTTGCAAAATCCTCAAAATTAGTATTACAATTACCATCGAAAACAAACGGTTTTACCGATTACTATGTACCGGCTAGTGATGTAGAAAATATGTCAAAAGATGAAATTCAAAGATACGAAAGAAAAAGATGGACTTCGTTTACACAATTTAAGGTTGTTCAATTTGGAATATAAAAATTGACTTTACGAAACATTGGATCCGAATGGAAAAATGGATTTTGTAATTGTCCAAACTTTTTGAAGGAATACATTTGTCAATATGTGATTGGGATGGCAATTAGATTAAAACATTGCAAACCACCTTCTATAGCCAAGGATGTACCTTTGGGTGGAAAAAGAAAACGAGGACGACCACGAAAAGCAACGAAAGCTTTGCTAATCGATTAACTGTTCAATTAAATTTTTTACTTAGAAATTTCTACATTTTTACTAAACAAAAATTTTATTTCTACTTAGCAAAAATGATATATTTGTCAATTCCTAATATTTTATCTAAAAAACAGGACTTTTTCATTGAGAATTTAAATAAATTACTTAGCAAAAATCTTTTTTTTACTTAGATTTATATTAAATAAATTCCTTAGAAAAAATAGAGTTTTTTACTTAGCATTTATATTTTTTCACTTAGCATTTAAATAGGTGCCTATTTTAAAATTAATTACTGGACTTTTTGAATTGTTTACTGAACTTCTTGAATTATTTACTGAACAAATAATATTTTTTTACTGAACATTCATAATAAAATACTGAACAATTAAATACAACCCAAAAATAATTTTCACATCAGATGTATTCATGTAAGTACAAATAATTCGACTAAAAGTTCTGCTTTTGAAGAAATCTCGAAAGACAAATTCGTTTAAACGGGTTGAATTACTCAAGGAAACCGTAAAAAGAACGAGCGATTGTCGAACATAATAATATCTATTCAGAAAAATACGCAGAAAAACGTGTTTTTTAGAGTCTTGTCTGACTGGATACTACCGACAGCCACGTCTACAGCCTCGACGAGATTGGACTTATACCAACAGATCTTGTTTTATGTTTTTTGTTTTTTGTTTGCTATTCACTCTTATAATATATCTTCACTCAAAACACTTAGTGCGAAATAGAAAAATGACTACATGACTAAGTAACGAAATGTGTCGTAACGAGCACGTGGTGTTGCAAAACACTACACATTGTTTTTTAGTGGGAATAAACAACATGAAGAATCAATCTTTTACGTTTGAATAAAAAATTGTGCAATACTCCAGTAATTACTAAAGCCCCCCCCAAAATAGACGGCCACCCTATATTAGAAGGCCACCCCCTGTATAAGGCCATGTCCGAGCAAAAGTTCAAAAGCTCTATTAGAAGGCCATTTACTAATTAATTAATATATTCCAAAATTATCGAAGTTTTTATAAATATTAATTAATAATTATGGAAATATAACCGATTTTCTAATGTTTTTTTGCGAAATCCTTCCTTTCCTATCATAAATAGTACAATTTTTACAAAAGATGGTAGTTTTTTCAGCAAAAATCACCTAAATAGCAATAATTAAAGTTATTAATTAATTATTCATTTTTTAAATAATTTTAATTAAAAACTGGCGAAAAATTGACCCCCAATAGAAGGCCATCCAAAACGTAGCGATGTGCCAAGACACTGTATAAGGGCATGCCCTTTTATTCTGGGAGGGGGTTTAACATATTTACATCGTCTTCTTTTTCACAACAAGATATTGCTTGCAACCAACATAAAGCATGCTTCATCGAAATGAAAATAAAAAATGATATGTTCGATTCAGATCATGCTTTTGTAAAATATAATTGTTTATTAACTTTATACTTCACACATGTCTAATTATTGACCAATTTCATTTTAATAAGAACAAAATACGTTATACAAAAGACGCACGAAGATTTTTTTTTCCTTCTTCAAATAAATGTTGAAAAAACCAACCACGATATTACTCATCATCAAATGGGGAGAATGAAAAGAATACTTCGTACTGTTGTGTCGCTATTTTTTCTTCCTATGGAGAAAAACAACAGCGAAATGCGTTATTTAAAAAAAAAACGCAGACACTTGCTGTCGAACATTCGCGACGAAACAAAAATATTTCTTGTTCACCTGTAAATAACTCTTTTTCTATTCCCCGAAAAACATGTAAGTAAATATTATAACTAGGAAGAAAAACAGCCATGCAATCAATTGTTACAAAAACAAAACTATATTAATAAAATCAGTGTTTCTTTACTTTACATATTGTTATAGAGAGCTGTTCGAAATGTTTTTTTCAGTAATGTGGAACTAGAAAGCTCGATTCGACTTAAAGCATCCGGTTCTAGATATCCGTTGATTCCTCGAAACATTGCTAACCTCTGTTCGACTCTCAAGCGTACAGTTGTGTGCGAAGAGAAGACAGTGAAGAGAGGACTAACAACCACAGAAAGCATCACCAGCCACAACCACACCCTTAACTATATATTTTTTGGAAATTCGGTAGTTTTCAATTAATTGGCAGAAAAAGATTTCATTTAAATCGACAGAGATGAATGGAAGATACTTAAAAACTGAATGATATCATGGTTGTGCAATTCACTGATTTACACGAGAAAGGCATATACACATATAGAGGAAACGAGAGAAAGAGAACAACGACGAGCATCTAGGCATCGGTACGGAACAAAAATAATCCACGCACAAGAAGAGACAGTGAACAAGTGCATTCATCAGAAGACGAATGCTCTCAGTAGCAAATAGAAAAAGAGAAGCAAGCCATGTTAGAGTCACTCTGTTACAAGTTCTTACAGAATAACAAAAATAAACATACAAACACTCATAACGACACACTTTAAAAATCAACAACTAGTCCCATATGTCTCGTTTTCTTCCACATTGAAAATGTCGAACGTGTGGACATGTGAACTTTATTTTCATTACTTCTATTTTCAGATTATTTTGTTCGTTCACTTTCAATGCCAATCACACCAAAACAAGCATGGGTAGAGCTGAGTAAGCTAAAATTGTTGGGTCCGAATGGTAATTCACCGGGCATATTCATCGTTGATGAATGTCCATTTCAAGAGGAAGAAGCAGCTGCTGCTGCTGCAAGGTCCGGATATGATTTCATTGCCGGACGTGTACTTCCAAGTGCTGAAATCTACAAAGAAGGCGCCTATCGACTTGAAATGAGATTTTCAAACGAGTATCCAATGAAGCCTCCCCTAGTGCGCTTCACTACACCCATCTACCATGTGAATGTTGATAAAGATGGTGAGTAATTATCCATAAGAATAATATTGTTCAAATTATTGTTAAAAAACTCTTCCAATCATTTCCAAGCAATTCTTTTTCATTTTTCGTGTTCATACCTACAGGCTTAGTTTGCATCCCGATTGTGATGCAAAAGGAAAGGTGGAATGCGACAATATCTTTGGCCGACATTGTCAAATCTATCGTTGACGTTATCGATCATCCAAAAACCGATTATGCAATGAGCCCTGGTAGGTTTATTTTATATTCTCAATTCTTTCATTAACCCACTCTTTTTGTTTCGCTATAGAGATACTTAAAGAGTATATGGAAAATAAGACCGAATACGACAGTAAGGCAAAAGAAATGGTGAAAAATAAAGCCTTACCTCGAAAATAAACACAATTTTTCGCACACACACGGTTACATTCATCTGCACTACTCGATTGACACGCTTTCTATCATCGCCATTAATCAAGACGCAATTTTTCTTAGACTGTTTGTTCTTTCTTGCATGTTCTTATACTACGTATTGCATTCTTTAGTTCCTTTTATTACTCTTAGCTTCTCTTATCTTTTGATTCATCCATCTCGAAGAAAAAAAGACGTCATCAGTGTGTCAATACATTGGAAGAAGTAGGGATGTAATCGAAGAGATAAATATATAATGTATGCTCTTTCTCTTTTCAATTTGTTTTGGAATAAAAGTAGTAATTTGTTCATACAAAGAATAATGGGAGAGTTATTAACAATTTCGACGTATGCATGATCAATCATGTCCACATACCGGATATCCCAAAAGTCATTATAGACCAGTGATGACTTTTAAAACAATCGATATATTTTCTTCTTCATTTCATACTTGTACTATGCTTATATTTGATATGCTTTTTCTTTTCTATTTTGCCAACACGAAGCTTTGCATGAGAGTGTGAATGTATGCATGCGGTGTTAGTGTTGATGCTTGTGTAAGTGAAAGTCTTCTCTTCGACGACATCCATACTCACGCTCGACACCTACACATTGCACTGCTCTATGGGCACCTCTGATACATATCATAACAAAGTAAGTAAGTAAAGAGCGCAATTTCTCACAAAAAAAATCCATTAATTAATCACATGAGAATTTCAAAGGTCAAGTTTAATATGTAGGGTGGTCCAAAAGTTACCCGGCAGTCTTTGTTTGCGAATAAATTTGGATAAGAATAAGATGAAGCACTGTGACTTTGTCGTTACGAAAGAGACTGTGTCATGGCATGGTTTCCATGTATAATTCAAGGATGCAAGTGCCTCAAAAAACAAGTGAACAAAGTCATCATTCATAGGTAAAATTCTTCGAGCGATGGAATCGTCTTACACGAATAGGGCTTTATATATTTGTGCATTGAACACTGAAAAACGAAAGACTTTTATGATTATTTTTTCGTTTAACAATAAACTCGAATCTATTTACAAAGTCATGAAACAAAAGCGAGTTATAACATATTATTGAAAATACTTCTTCACAGTTCAATTCATACATCCGCATTTGATTTCTCACTCACTAAGCATCTCATCAGGTTAAGAATTATATATTTATTAAGTCACATGGAAACATTGAAGGTAAATGTTGATCTTTTTTTGTAGTTGTATTGTCTATGATCTTCCATTGTACTGTCTTCTTCAATATAAATTTGTTTGATGTGCATTCATTACAGGTATGTCATAGTTATTTGAGCGTACGACGGATAGTTCACAATTTGTACACGATCATTCCACTAGTCTATATTTTAGACTTTATTTTGCTAAAATAGTTTACCAAATTTTTTCATGCCGGTTGATAATAAACAATCTAAGTTACAATTAATTTTTGATTGTCCTTTTCAGTAAATATTTAGATTTTAATGAATCTTGGAAAAAAATTTCTTTCCATTGTATATGAGAGAGATGCACGGTATTGGTGTCTACACAAAATATTGACACGAACACCTCTATGCTCAAAAAAAAAGAAATACTAGAAATCCAGATATCTTTCATTTTGAACGATTATTGGAATTCATCTGCCTATGAAGTGTAGCCAGTGATCAATAAATCCACATTGTTACATTCCTATTCGTAGATAAATAAAACCCATAGAATACAGGCGCAGAGAAATGAATAAGAATTATTCAGTAAAATTGAGAAATGTGACAACAAACAAATAGATAATGTTGATTATTACAGGAAGAAAAAAAAGATATATGGCTTCAAACTGATGATTATCTTTTTATTTCGATTAAAAACCTTGCAGATGATTCCAAAAGCCAACCAATTAGAAACGAACATGTCTTACTGTGCGTTAAATTATATAATTCAATAACCACACATAAATTTATCCATGTTGTTTCGCTCTTGCATTACCCTCTATCTTATATCCGTTCAATAAAATCGAGAAAAATTACGCTAGATAATATTGACTTTGATAATGAATGAATTTTGAATTTGACGATTATCAAAGTTCTTTTTTAGTTGAAGATAAATAAATTAAATTTTGATTAAGTAATTTACATGCAGAAAAAAAAATTATTTAATTTTCTATTGATTCTTATATCTCTCAATTGATTCTTCTTCTAAATTCTTGCTTACTTACATTTTTCAACAAGTTTGATTTCATTAGAAAAATACGACAAATTTTGTAACATGAATGTTGCACTTCAGACAGTTGCTTCCGCGGCATTACAGAGCTGATGATGAGAGTGAAAACAAAGAAAAATACAAGGCTAAGGACGATGCCTACATCTAATGCTCATTTCCAAAGCAAACAAAGCGAGTGGGAATTTTTTCAATAACTTTTGATAGAAACAAGATAAAGAGCTGAAGTTTTCATTATTGGAGAGAGAGAGAGGAAATGTAGATGCATTGAATCGTATACTATAGGTTTTTCCGACCTGATGTTTTTAAGGTTGTCAATCGCCCTTTTTGAATATCAATGCACTCTGTGAAGTGACTATAGTGAGTTTTCAATCATCACATGTGGATCCGAACCAGCAATGGAAGGTCTACAAAGCTATGCAAGCCTCTGATTTTTAGATTTAATCGCTCAATAATCATCAGTATTCTTGTCAGAACTCTCGGTCGATTTTTGAAGCTATTGCCATAAAGAAAACCATTTTTCGATACTTTTTTCTCGGAAATTTATTTAGAAAACATCTTATGAGAACCTAAAATACATGATTATAATGATAAATCGTTCATCTTACTTGTGATAAAACACTTGAATTGAACTTAGAAATATTGGAGAAAGATTTATTAAAAAACACAAGATCTTATTTATGGAATCAAAAACAAGTTAGAAAATATATTCAGATTATAAAAATTCATATCAGAAAAAAAACTTTTTCTTTTTTTTTGCAATTTTTATGAAATTCTGATTGTTTCAAGGCTTTCAAGTCATTTTCTCTATCAGGATCAATATATTATGAAACTATCTCATATGAATAAGCAAAGAAAACAAAGTAGAATTCATTTATAAAATTTTTAAAACATGCAATTGGTAATGTATAATAATAGTATAGGACAATTTATTTATTAAAATTCTGATATGTCCTTATGAATCAATTATCTTAATAATCAGAAAGAAGAAAAACTGTGATTCGATATCCAGAATGTAATGCAGCACAAGTTAGAAGGGGTGTGAGCATAGCTTTGAAGAAAACCTGCACTCACACCCTACCATATTTAGTATTTAGATGAAGAAATTTATGTGACTTTTTTTTTGTTCGTTCTCTTATGTGTTATGAGTAGAATAAAAAACAACTAATGTCAAATAGAGTTGCCAATGACTCAGTTGATAATAATGCAATATGCATCATTTTCTTTGCCATGTGTCTTCATCTTTCACCACACTCAAGTAATAAATCTCATCGAGTGTATAAAAAGCACAAGTTTCAGTCGTCTTAAATCACATATTCTCGTAGTTAATTATTGAGAATAAAAATGAGTGAATCAAATAAATCTACAACTTCCGAGCAGATGGATGACGTAAATCAAATAGGTGTAAGTAAAAATATCGCATATTGATCAAATCGAATATGATTTTTTTTTCTAAAGCCATTTGCTATCGTACCAAAGTATGATTGTCCTCATGTGGGTGATCGTGTTGAATTATTACTTTCATCGACTCAATTTGATCGTGAACATCAACCGCCTTGTGTTGATTGTAATAAAACACAAGAGAATTGGGCTTGCTTACATGAGAACTGTAATTATGTAAGTCATTCATTAACAATCAAAATATATTCATATATATATATATATATATATAATTCATTCAAATTAGATTGGTTGTTCTCGTTATCATCAAAAGCACATGTTAAATCATCATGAATCAACTGGACATAACATTTGTCTTAGTTTTTCAGATCAATCAATCTTTTGCTATGCATGTGATAGTTACATTGATAGTCCTCAATTGTATAATCTCAAACAACAACTAAATAAAGCTTCTAGTTAGAACTAAACGAATAATACATGCAAAACTTTCATTAATACATTTTATTGTTGTAATTTTTATTTTAATAAAACAATCAAGAGATTAGTTTGATGTTCATTACATAAATGTTATTTTAACAGATACATTATATCTATTATAGTTATTCATCAAGCAATAGACTTAAGTTTATTGATATAAAAGATAAATAATAACCATGTCACATATGTAAAATCGATGAAAGAAAAAAAAAACTTTTTGATGCATTTTCGAAAATTTAAGCGAAATCAAAATAAAAGTTGAATCTTCTTTTTTATATCGCCAGTATTAATAAACTTCAGTTTAAAAAGTGGAGAATATTATTTCTTCAAATTAAACTATTTGTGTGTTGGCAGCAAGGTATCCTTTCGGGTACTCTATTATCAGTATGTCACAGGATCTTGATTGAGTATCCCACCGCGAATTGTCTCAGTACATGCCTACTTACCAGCGATCCATCTAAGCACCTTCCTAGTTTCTATAGCATTCTATGAAAAATTTTTCAATATGTTAGTAGATTGAATATTTAGAAGCATTTTGTATTCAAGTGCTAAAAACCCATAAAGTACCTTACAGTAGCGAAGCATCCAAAGATTCATGTATCATACTGATAGCAGAGTACCCTGAACTCATTACATTCACTAGGATAATTCTAAATTATTTCTAGTATGATGAAAATATTTGCTTGTAAATAAAATCTATATTGTTTCTGTTTTTTCTTAAATCTATATTTAGACCTTATATAGATTTGCGGATAGTTAAACAATTAAAATCAATTCTACTAATCAAGTAGAGATTTTAATTTAGAGAGTTTTTAAATATAAGATATACCAAAAGTTAATATCATCCTAGCGTTCATACCATACCGTAAACATGTTTTATTCAACTATTAAACATTTTAAAGTGTAATGTTAATTTGGATCGACTAATAACATTATATTTATAAATATAGTAGAGTGTTTACAGTTCGTATCATTGAATATTATGTGTTCTTACACCATGATCTGGCCGCCAGGTTCAAAATACAATTCAAAACTTTGCTATCTTATCGTTTTCTTTTTCATCTTCTTATTTTGTTAATTTTGTCTAAATAGTTATTGTAATTTATTTAAAAACTAAATTCAATATTCTCCTTTAAATCAAAGTATAATGGTCATATGTAGTTGAGAAGAAACAGTGTGTCAAAAATGAGCAAGTCTTTCACAGAATCAAAAGTTCATTGAAATGTAACATTTGTATGATAAACTTTAGGAAATATGTGTAATTTTTTTTAATTGCTAGAATATCTAATACATAAAAAAGCTTTTGTAATAATTATGTTATATTCATACCCATACCCTTAAGTCTTCGTTTGTCGGAGAAACAAAGTAAAACTCAGTTCAAAAAATTCTGCATTTGTTTTAGTTGTGGTTGTTGGTTCAAATACAATCTAGCCGAAAACATAAGTTCACAGTCAAATTTTTTGTAAATTCCTATCGATGTCTCGTTGTACGTCCACGTAAATCCAAATATGTATCTTCCATTTTAAGCCTTTATTTAGCAAGTTGTACACATTAATAAGAAGAAAACCCCAAAATAACTTGCCTTCAGTGCAGTTTGCACTCACTTAGAAGGTATGCGGGTAGAGAGTTCGTGCAAGAACTGTGTTCCTAGTTCAACAACAAACGTTAGAAACAATGACAACTGATTCTTATTGGAATTCATCTCAATCATCCGAGATTTATTCATCTAAAACAGATGAAAATCTAACACATAGGATCATTAATCGAATTTAAATATTTCATTTTACTCGACTTCAACTCAAAGTAAAATACCTATCAACGGATCCCAAGCATATTTTTAGTATCAAACATAATAGGTTCTATTCAGTAAAAAAGCAAATTTTTTGACAAAAGAATAGCAAAGTCGATGTCAGTTAAGATCAAATTAGACGAAACAGACATAACATGAATAAATAGCGGAGAGTCAAATGCTAAAAAAGAAACACTATATCGATGTTCAGTTTAATAAAACTGATATCATTGTATTACATGGTAGCATGATCGGTCAATATAAATATTACAAGATAGTTCGAATGTTTCCTGAATATCAATGATGAAAACAGTCTATTGGCGTCGTGTTACCTTGGCAAAAAGACCATATTTGGGTCGCATAGTGATCCGAATGTCTGGCGTAATTTTCTGACCGGGTTCAAGCTGAATGTTGCATCGTTGTAGAAACATCGATAGAATGACTTTCACTTCTAGCAAGGCAAAGTGTTGACCGATGCAACTACGAGGTCCGGCTGAGAACGGCAAATAACAAAATGGATGCGCTAGTTTCGGCTTGAAACCTGTGCTAGGATCACGTAACCATCGTGTATAATCGAATTCGTGTGGCCGAGGCCAGAATTCTGCTCGACGATGAAGTGTATAAGTGTTTAACCATACAGTCGTATGGACAGGTATGTGAAGTTGTTTATGACCCTCACTTCCGATTGTATGTGCTCGTATACAGTAGCGCGTAAATAGAGGCGCCGGTGGATAGAGACGAAGTGTTTCATAAATGACAGCTTCGCACACAGACAAACTACTGAGATGATCATAAGTTGGTTCTAAACCATTGGGCAAAATGCGATCGATTTCATCTCGACAAGCATGTAGAACATGTTCATGAGTCATGAGAACATACATCACCCATGCCATCAAATTGCCGGTAGTTTCATGTCCAGCAAGAACAAAAGTCAATGCTTGTTCTTTGATCTCTTCATCTGTAAACGGTTGTCCTTGATCATCGACTGCAGAAAGAAGGAGATCGAGTAGATCGGCTCCGACACAAGAACTTGTTGATTTTCCCTGTCTTCTATCACTAATAATCTGATCAACGAATCCATTCACCATTCGAGTAGCTCGGTCAACAATATGTTTACGCCAGAACGGTAATCGAGCAAGAAAAGGTATGAGATTGACCATACGCATTGTTCGATACATAACCGCTTCCAGTGCTTCGGTAAATGTTCGAGACATGATCTCTTTAGCATCGACAATGGTTTCGAAACCTTGACCGAATGCACTTGAAGCAATGATAGTTAGCGTAAGTGAATTCAGTTCTTTTTGTAGATCGATCGGTTGATTGGTCGAAGACGTCAGAAGCCTATGAATAGCTTCAGCTGTTCGATCAGCCATGATCGAAATCATCGATTGAAGATTAACAAAATGAAATGCTGGATTAAGCATTTGTCGAGCGCGCTCATGTTCCAATCCCATGCTTACTAATAAATTGTGAGAACCGATCAATGGTTTTAGTACCGTAGTCAAATCTCTTGGCTTTGTATAATCCGAGATGTGTGATCGACCAAGAACGTCGGCCAACAAGTCTGGTTCGAGCACGACAAGACGCACCAATGGACCATAGCCAATGAGAAAAATTGGACCATGTTTCTTTGCAAGATTTTCATGATATTCAAATAAAGCATTGTTATCACGAGCACGACGAATTTCAGGCATTTGACCGAGAATTGGCACAAACGGTTCGCCAGGAACACCTTGGCTTCGTAGTGCATCATAAACATATTTCTCTGGACGAACTAATTTCCAGTAAATAACAAAACATGTTGCGAAGAAGATCGTTACTAAGGTAAGCAATATGATAAGAATGAACATTTTATCTAAAATATGATCATTTTTTTTGTTGATATCTGCATCGAACGACAAAAAAAGAAATATTATAACACACTTGTTGTTCGTTTTTTTATGGCCAAACGATATAGCAAAAAGAAAAGAAAATATGAGTAGATGTGATAAGAGCATTCAATTCTACCAGGTAAAGCATGTTTTATGTGAGGATCTGAGATGCTGAAGGTGTGCGTATGCGTGATTATAAAGACCTGACCGAGTGAATGTAAAAACATAGATGTCGGTTTGGTTAGTTGAGTATGTTATATAATGTAGGTCAAAGATGTTGACGAATTGACCCATTTTGATGTAACTCGCTCGACTCGTCTGAGTCCTCTTTGTTGATAATAATACATAGTAGAATATACATTTAAGTTTAACTTCATTACTCATATGAACCTGAGCACTGTATCAACAAAGTAATATGTACAGTTACTTCGTCTGAAAAATTTGCCTTGTGCTGCTCATGCCCACGCCTGCACCCGTACAAAACTACTTTTATTAGTTCACTATATAAAAAAATGAGAATGAATGATGTGTAATCTAGTTATTTTTCAATTTCTTTGCACATTTTTCGTCATTATTATCCTAGTTGAAGTTGTATCTGCTATATTAATATTGTATATATGTCCATGAGGTAGGGTGGAAAAAAGTTTAACAACAATGTATTTTTTGGTTTTTTTTCTATAATGTCAAGCGACTAGCTTAAATTCAGATAGTGATTTTAATAATCAATTAAGTTTTCTGTAGAATAGCTAGAAATTAATCCCATCTATGTACTATTGTCGTTCTTTCTACCAGAATTATTTTTTCCTAATTCATTATAGTTCTCTGACCAAAAAAAAAAGTAGTACATATTTGTACTGTTGGCTATGAAAGCATTAAAGTTCTTATTTAGTATTACAGGAAGATTCATTTGTTCTTCAAAGAACATTAATCATTTTAAACCGAATATATTTCATTCAGCCGTACGGCGCCATTTTATTGAATATGACCATGTTTTACTTGAAAAACTTGTTGCCAAAATATAAACTATTGAGTAGCTCAATTCTTATTTCGTGTTTCATTTTGGTTGAGTATGTCCATGAAGAAATCTTTATTTTTATTCAATCAATTTTCAATTTCAACAAGACTATGTAGGAAACTATAGTAAATCAATCTAATCAGAAAAAATTACTTAGAATTGTTTGTTTTTTTTTCTTAAATTCTAGATATGAGAATAAAATTTTAAGAGATTTAGTGAAATTCGTCTTTTTCAATCTATTCAAAGGAAAAATATCTATTAAAGAGATTAATACAATACAATATTGAAACAAACGATATTTATATTTACAATTATATTTACATCACGTTAAAAGATTAATATTGATCTCCGATCAAGATAATTATGGATAGTATTAATGATTGTAGACGAGCAAGTCAAATGCATCTTGACGTAATCGACCACTGCGAATTATGGAATTTTGCTGATCTTAATAATAAAATCAAAAACAAAAAATCATTATCAATAATATCGACTAACAAAAGGTTTTAAAAATAAAATATTCTTAGTTTTGAATTCGTAAAACTATACTAATGAAACTACATTCAAAGATATTGAACGGTATTTAATTTCAAATTTACAAGATATACCTCTTTTGAAATGTTTCCATATATTGATCAAACGTTCACGAAAGATATCAAAGAAAAGTGGACTTGTCAGAGCATTGACAGGAAATGATTTAGCAAAATTCAAATAAAATATAATCAATGAAAGTCGATCCAAAAATGATTCAATTGTCATTCTGTAAATGTTTTTCGATACATCTCTCGACAGTAAACTATATGTTAAGAAAGTAGTACGAAATAAGCTCAATATCATGCCTATACCAACTTGAATGAACATAATCGTAATTAGATGACGATCAGCTCTATTTAATCTAGCTCTTCGACTTCTAAAATTTCGTACACGATGTCGCGACATACATACATGTATGAGAGTAATGACACTAGCAGCAAACATGGGTGTATAGAACAAAATTGTATTACAACCAAGCAAAAATGTACCAATAAACATTGTATAAATACCAGATTTAGGCATACATATGTATATATTATTATTCACATCTATTAATTGTAAATCATAATAAACGACTATATGACACAAACAAAGTAGCCAGAAAATAACACTTAGAACTATAATGTAGCGAGCAATTGAAATGTGACTTAATCTACGCCATTTTCTTGAGCTTGATGTTAGTAAACATCGGTCGACTGATGCAAGTGTTAGACAAAATGTAGCCAATGATAGTATGGCAACGGCCAAATATGTTCGCCATTTGCAAAAGATAACTGACCTACGAGGTAAGGGTGTGGGTGTGGGTGTGGGTTGGGGCGGGGGGCTGGCCGGGTCGCAGCCTCTCCCACACCCACACCCACACCCACCCCACACCCACACCCACACCCACACCTACACCCACACCCTGATGATCGGTAAGTTGCATGTCTATAGGTTTGAGTTAAATTTAATTTCAAGAGGTACACCTAATGTAGATATGAGTTCAGCGGCACAACACATTATTATCGAGAAACCGATGAATTCTCTTTGGTTCATAGTGCCTATGAACTACATTACGTAGTACAATAACGTTCATGTTGTGACGCAATATATAACTGTCTCTACGAGTACAATAGTTGTACGCATCGACTTGGATTCTTACTTTGATCTATTGTTTCAATACTTAGATTACGCCACCTTTTATTTCGTTTGAATTATTGGTTGAAGTAAATGGGTCAATCATTTTTTTTCCTTCTCTGTTATTTCATAACACTGTTGAGCATGGTGCGCAAGATGTGAGACATGATTCATAGTAAAAAACTATAAAGAGAGACGATCATGAAACAAAGTAGCACACATTACACTTTCACTTTTCTTCGTATGGTAAGCATTGATGAAAGAGAATTGTTAGTTTTTCTTGTTGTTGTTAAGATCACCGTGTTTTTTTTTCATCAATAATTATTCATATAGTCAACCAATCTCTATCGAACACTGTCATAAGGCATAACAAAGATGATCATCTTTCGTTATTACTCCAGCTTTTCGATGATCAAAAAAGTAAAAATCAAAACCATGATACCGCTTCTGCGCCCAGACCAATGATTCCACTGGTCGGACCCGTAAATGTCTGACTGAAACATTGAGGAAAACGGGTAGTCTTTGACAGCAGAAATGTGGCGATTGAGTCTAGTGGTCGTACTTCATTCATCAGAGTACACAAATTTTTGCTGATTTCGTCCGACACACAGAAATGTCATCGCCATCCATCAACGACAGCTATGCCAGACCGTTCAAATGCTTCTCAGAATGTACCTATATCCATGTTTTCGTCGATTTTTTTTTTGTTTAGCACTTGTTTTATTCCCTTTTTCTGCTTTTCCTGACACTGAAGAGCCACCATTGTTATTTACATGAGCTCAATGAGTGCATGCACCGAGGGTGTGAAGTAGAGCCTATCGAGTTCAAGAATTTTCGGACCAGGGCCCGATTAATTAAAATTTTTCGGACCTGAACCTGATGGGCTGTAGTATGAGGTATGAATGTTGGAGTGGATGAAAAGAAGATCCACACCCAAGTCGTATTATTCTCGTAAGAATGCATACATTGAAATGAAGTATTCAGTGTTAGTTGTTCTTTTTTTGGTTCTATTCTAGTATTAAAACCCGACAATAGTATGTCTTCTAAGAGTTTACCAGCTCAGATGGATCCTGTCTATCGTATTCCGCCTTATTATTATATTCATGTATTAGATCGGAATACAAGTGTGACGCGGTTGGAAATCGGTCCAAAAACATTTTTTAGACAAGACCATGAGACAATAGTTTTTGGACCTGATAAAATGATTACTCTACCACCAAGACACTATTGTGTTATTGAAAATCCTGTTGTGAAAAATGAAGATGATCAAACACAATTCGACAAAAATGGTCAGGCAAAATTGTCGTACGGTAGCCTAGATGTTAGATTAGAAAAAGATTATAAAGAACCATTTCCATTGTATCCTGGTGAAGTTTTAAAACAAGTATTGTGAATACTATTATAGAAAGTACCTTTGAACAGTATATGTTCGTCTTGTTTCAGACTGCCACACTTTTAAAATATGTTGCAGCTAATTCAGCATTAAGATTAAAGGGTGTTTTGGATTTTGATGATAATGGAGAACAGAGAAAAGCTGGAGATGAATGGCTATTCGAAGGACCAGGTAAGTGACTGTGTATGTGTTCACAGCTATAATTCATGCAATTAATTCGCTCGAAACATAATATATGTCTGTCAACTGTACAAATATCTTGATTTGTTAGGCACTTATATACCACGTAAAGAAGTATCGGTTGAGGAACATATTGTTGCTACCGTGATCGGTCCAAATCAAGCAATAAGATTGAGTGCTAAAAAAGAACTTATCGATCGTTTGGGTCAACGTCGTGTGGCAGGTGAAAATTGGTTAATAAAACAGTTGGGTGCTTATGTACCATTGGCTTATGAAACAGTTGTTGGTATTGAGAATGCCCATGTTGTAACAGATAAAAAAGCTTTACATTTACGTGCATTGAAAACATTCAAAGATGATTTTGGTCAAACAAGAAATAATGGTGATGAATGGCTCGTCACAAAAGAACAAACTGAAACATATATTTTGAATGTTTATGAACAACTTGTGGCAATTATTGATATAAAAACATTGAATTCAAGACAATATTGTGTCATCTTAAATCCAGTTTCATGTAAGAATGTTAGATGTCAAACTATGATCGAGGGTTATTATAATTTCGATTTTCTTTTCAAGCTGACGGTAAAAATCAATTGGGCAAGAAGAAATTAGTTGTTGGTGATAAATCTTTTTTTCTGCAACCTAATGAACAATTAGAGAAAGGAATTCAAGATATATACATCTTGAGTGACGATGAAGGCATCGTAGTGAAATGTATCGAATCGTTTAATGATGAAATATACAATGTGACTCGTGTGCCGGGTAAGAGAAAAGAATTCAATCTGTCTTTAATGTGTGAATTTTTTTAAGGCGATAAATGGGTAGTAAGAGGACCAAGAGAATATATACCACCAGTACAAGTCGAAGTATTAGAAAAACGAAAAGCGATACCTTTGGGTAAATTAATTAATCTTGCATATTTTATCTATCCATTAGGTACTTTTCTAGATGAAAATGAAGGTATCTATGTTCGTGACTTGAAAACTGGTCGTGTTCGTGCGATCATTGGTAATACATACATGTTAACACAAGATGAAGAACTCTGGGAAAAAGAATTACCAGTAAGTATAGAAGAACTCCTTCAACGAGATTCTTTAAGTGGAAGACAAGCCAAAACAACAGTAACGTCGTCGGTACAAATGACAAAACGTGACAAATCCAAATTGATTACATATCGAGTACCACAAAATCAAGTCGTACAAATATATGATTACAAAGCGAAAAATTCAAGAATTATTTTTGGACCAGAATTAGTCACGTTAGGACCAGATGAACATTTTACATACATAAATCTTTCTGGATCTGTATGTGTTTCTTTATTTTTACTTATTTTTCTTTCTCTACTCTTCATATTGAAAAAAGGTACTAGTAACAAAAAAAATTTCTTTTTGTCGGTCTTTGTTTTTATATTTTGTATTTCTTTACGCCGTTTTATTCAATATACAAAATAAAAATAATTGAGAAAAAAAAACACATATGAATAATGAAAGTTTTTAGGAAGACTCAATCTATTTAGGTATAGTGACAAAGTGAATGGCGATTAGGATTTTGGTTGATAACTTTGTGAAATTGAATTGAAAGTACGCATCTTAAAATTAACAAAATCCACGAAAAAAAAGTCGTATTCTTCAAGATATCGATATTGTTAGGAAAATAGTCATAATTTTACGTTGAAATTGAATGATTCTTGAAATCGATTGGCTAAGAATTAGTTCTTACTATTATGCAACAATCCAAAATTTAGAAGAAACTTTTTTCATATTCAAATAGAACACAATCAAAAATAAATCATTGTATCTCTTCAAAGAAATCTTCAAAGAAGTTAATAATTAATTCCTCTAAAAAGCCAAGGAGTCTACTCACTCATGTATGAATATGATGATACGCAAAACATATGATGAATGACGCCCATAAAAGAAAAGATATAAAAAAAGAAGGTACACATCTCAGTATAGTCATGTCTTATACAAAGATTAATCCTATTATTAGATTAATATTTTATTGCAATATTAATCTATAATATTGGAAAAAAAATAGATCAATATGATTCAAATAAAATAGGACACAGTATCGCCTACTTTATCTTACTTCTTTATTTGAAGTCATGCTTTACCAGTCTATAATGATACTATATAAGTCTCATCAATTGTACAACATAAGCAATTGTATACACACGACTATTCGAATTTGATATTATCAAACGATGATGAAAAAGTTAATTATACACTTATTACTAGCAACTTTTGCTATTATGTCTTTATGTGCAGCTGACGATGCTTCAATATCATCAATGCCAGCGGGTTCTACAAAGATCATTAATTCAAAACCTTCGTGTTTAATATATCCATTACCAGCTATGTGTAATCCATGCAAATATGGTCAACCAATCAAAGGAGTTGTTTGTGGACAAGGATCAGGAGCATGTGCACTTAAAGATGGTATATGCAAAATGAATCAATACGACAAAATTTATTGTTGTCCATATGAACATGCACGTTGTTGCCCGACAGAATATTCATCTTCTAAGTGCAAGTTACAATGTACAACAGATGCTCAATGCAAATCTTCTGAAAAATGTTGTGGAAAATTTTGCCGACGATGTGTTCCTGCCATATACTAATAATTACAAAGACTATTATTTATTTTGCTTACAAATAAACTTTAAAATTTTTTCTTTTTTTTTTTTGTTTTTACATATCTAATAAACTCAATCGAATTACTTTTATTTTAAGTGTTTTATTTCACAAAACAGAACTCTTATCATTCTGCGACATTTATCATATTACGAAGATAGAAATAAAAAGAAAAAAACAAAATGAGATTTTTATTTTTGATATATTAGATAAAATCGTATTCGTGAGAAATATCCTTGAAATAATTAATAGATTGCAATTTAATGAACGCTTTTTCTGTATCGCATCCCTTTGATAAAGAAAAAGATCACTTTTGGTAGCTAAGTTTTAATAAATTGTTTAATTTCACAAATTTTTGAATTGCTGTGTATTTCTAATGTGCTTCTTCACTGAGAAATAGCTGCTAGTAGCGAAATAATTTTATTACGAAATGTTTGACTATACTACCAATGACAATAGTGCAAGAATAGACTCTTAAAAGTTTAAAATAAAGATAAAAAGTGTTGATAAAACATCTGAATCTTTTAAATATGTTGATTGAATAATGCTTGCTGATAGGTTATTGTATGTTTTATCGGGTGCATTCTCTAGTTTGCATGGTAATTTCAGATTCTTTATTTTAATTTTTTGTTTAATAATGTTCTCTACTAGTTCAATAGTGTTAAAATCAAGATTGTAATTTAACCATACACATACTTCAAAATCATATTCTTTACTAGAGAATATGATCGCTGAAACATGCAATGATTTATACACAAACGATATATGAATACTTTGTATCTTCGTTCTAAACTTCTAATTATATTATAAGTGTCCTTTCTTGTATGTTATTCATATCTATCTTCATGACATTGTTTCAACCATAAATTCTGTATTTCTCATATCAAAAATATAATTCGCGAATACTTTTGTTGTTGGTAGATACCTATGTATCATTGATGTTTCACTTGATACTTTTATATCAATTCCATGTTTATTAAGAAATAATAAAAATTTTTTACTATTTTTATCTAAGATCTTAGTGATTGTCATTCAGTCGGTATTATATGTTGATAGATGATGGAAAGAAAAAGTTGTGCTGATGTTGAATAGAATCTTTGCTCTTTTTTTAGGGTATTAGTAAAATGTGTTTTCAGACACTTTAATTCAGATTTCAAAAAGAAAACTAATTTTCGACAAGAAAAAAGTTATTAAAGTCACTCTTCCATATATCTGAACTTATTCAACGTATGATTAGGTCCTTCATTATTCCTAGAAGTATCTTTCCATATACAAGATTAATGAACTGAATGTTATACATGTGCTACACAATGAGTTGTATCTCTTTTATTATTCTTTTCTTTTTCTGTTTTTTTTAAATTTCGAATTACTATAGTTTTCAGCACAATGATCTGTCACAGATATAAACAATATTGTTAACATTGGTGAATCAGCTGGATGCAAGCCAGGTAGAACAAGCATACAAGGCATGATAGTGACTCTACAAAAAAAGGTTCTCATATCTATTAAACGATAACAATCACACACTGATATGCAACAAGCAAAGATACCTTTTTATTCATACTCTTGTGCTAGCAAGATACTTTTCATGTACAAGAGAATGCAGAACCAAATAAAAAACAGAAAAATAAAACAATAATAAAAGAGACATGGGTCATTGAGCAGTACGTGTATAACATTTATTTCATTATTCATTCCAAGTAATCAAAAAAAAGCAAGTGAAGACGAGTGACATGACTAGTCCGAAATGTTCGCAATACGCATCATGACTAGTTGTCTTCACAAGAAATGTCCTGCAATCACGTCTGGACTAGTCCAGAGCGTCCTTGAATCCTATTATGTCTAATCCGTTTGTCTAATCTATCCCGTCCAGACTAGTTCGTAGAGCAGAAAAAAAAGAAGACAAAAGGTGGATTCGAACATCTGACTCAACAGTATTCAATACCTGACGGATGTCTAGACACCACACTGTGACTTACCAATAGACTCTCATTAGTTTAAATAGTTCAAATAGTAAAAAGACGCTCGTCCATTTGGTAGACTATTAAAAACTTATCAAAGACAAGTGGCTTGACTAGTTTAAAAAGTTTTCAATGGCAGTCAGGACTAGTCTGAAGTCTCTTCTACACTCGTCACGACTAATCTAGTTTTTAGAATGTATCGTCATTACTAATTCAGAACACTATGAAGTTTCTTTCCAACTCATTTGTCTCATACTAAATTATTCAATCAACCGGTTTAGGGTGATCAATAGTGAAAAGAAAAAGAATGTAATACAAGAAAAAATT